CTCATTTGAGTGTGTGTTTTGAAAACACCTTTTTCTATTAGCCATTTTGTGACTGCCTCTGTTGACTCTTACTGATCTTTTGTTTAGAACTCCAATTTTATGTTTGTGTATCATTTTGATTGGGTGGTTTGAAGGGCTATGCTCTTCTTCCACCTTAAAGAAACCCAAGGCCCACTTGCGTGATACCTTTCAGTAAAGGTGCAGTATTTTGTCAGTTCCCCCACTTGTGACCTTGCAACATTCAGATTTTGTTTACTGGGGGTAATGTGACACTATGCACTAAAATATAACGAGTTAGGAAAATAAAGAGCAAAGCTTGTCACATCAGTGCATGTTATTGACAAGTTGGCCTTTGCACACCAAGGGCGACGCTAATAAACGGCACGAAATTGCGAATAATTCGGAGGTGCCTATCTATGCACATCAGGAGCTATGCAATTTTACAAATACATTATGTAAATTCGAAGAAAAAGCAATCGCGCAACGGAAGTCAAGACCCAGACAGCAAACAATCATGGACTCGACACCAAGTGATGATGATTTGGTGCTTGTTTTCCTAAAACGAGATAAAATCTGATTCTGAACAGGCGAGGAAAACTTGGTGAGTTCCACTGTTTGGTTCAGGAGCTGAAACTGTAGGCCTACCACAGCTGCTTCAGGACCTACTTCAGGACAGTTTGTGGGACATGAAACACTGCTTCAACAGCTAGCTCCAAGGCTGAGGAGGCAGAGGAACAATTTAAGGGAACCCGATTGGCCCAGAGCAGCGATTAGCTGTATATCTGAGGTAAGAAGCCTACTCTGTTGTTAAATGTGTAGCACCCCACCACTCTAACTGTCTTAGATTTAGAAACTACTTTGACTAGAATGATGGGGCGGTAGGGTTTGTTTTGTGTTACAGGTAGCTACCCGAAGGTTTACCTGAATTAGATTTACTTAAACAACTTTATTTACCACAAAAAGTAAATTGTTAAACACTGTATTCTTAATGGTCATGCGACAAAAGCACAAAAAATGTCACAATGTCAAAAACTCACATACCATAGTCTTTGAAAATCCTCTCATAAAGCAGGGGTTCAGAAAACAGTCCTCTCGTTTCGAACTGTCTTACACACAGCAAAACTCACAGACCGCCGAAGAATCTTTGTCGTAACTTCACTAAAGAGAAACCAGACGGATGCAGCAGCGACACGTTAGCTGAAGTCCTCTCAGGCCTTCCCGGCTATGGGTTATGGGGTGTGAGAGCTGACAGCACTTTGCTAACTGAGCAGCCAATCATGTGGCTAGTCGCCTACATTGTCGTAAACTAACTCTGTATGGGGCGTAAGAACTGACAAAGAACTTGATAACTAAGCTTACTGAGAGGAGAACTGACTTGTATATACGTTGGGGATAAAATAGGCGCAAATTTAATAAATTTTAGAAATTTTATTTGTTGCTTGTTTGTTTCTTAACATTGAAACAACATTGAAATCTTGATATTGAAACAACATTGAAATTTTGATCAATATCAAGTTATGGACCTAGCTGAAAACCTGTTGTAACCCATATGAAATATAGGTCTACTAAACCCATATATGTTGTTTCAATGTGCAGTTGCCCATTTTCCCCAGTAGAAAGCACTTCCCGCTGTGTAGCAGCAGTAGAAAGTGCATGTGAAGAGCGCAGCTTCCTGTCAATCATCCTGCAGACGTGAGGTTCACAGCCACGAGCAGACGGAACTTTCCCCGAACACAAGCTGTGATCCTGATATGGATAACTTCTGTCGAGTTATTATCCTCTTTATGAATCTCCAGAACATGGATGAACCCGGCCCAGTGAATCTGAGGATGGTCGTTTACGCAGTGTGGCCAGTTGCAGGACCTGCTCAGAGGATGTCAGATAGCTCAATTCATTTGTCGACTCCAGATACATAAGACACATACACTCTATTAACCTACCCGGGTAATAGTATTAGACAATGTTACAATTCACTTAGCAGACGCTTTTATCCAAAGCGACATACATCAGAGAGTAAGTACAACACCATTCATACACCGCCACCGAAGCAGGGGGAGCAATGCAGGGTGTGTCTTGCCCAAGGACACATCGGACATGTTCCTCAGCTGGGGATCATACCCTCGTCCTTCGGTTGAGAGGTGACGTCTCTACCAACTGAGCCACAGCCGACCCAGACATTAGACATTAGACATTGACATTGACATTGACACTGAACACACACTTCTGGATCTTTCCCCCGAAACTGAACTCTTATTGCGTGTTGAACTTTTCTCACAACTCCTCTCGAAAGGACAATTTCTTTTGGTTTTATTTTATTTTCACAGAACTATATTTTTCTTGAGGAGGAGTCTCAAACGTTACAACCTTTTTATGTTTATGTTGTTTTAGATTAAATATGGAGGCGTCATGGTCAGTGAAACAGAAAATGACAGTAGTCGATTGGACATGAGCTGAAGTCCAAGCTGTGAAGACAGCCCCAGAAGAATTACATAAAACAGAGATGAGAAAGACAGGTTAGTTCTTTCATTTTTATGTTGGTGCTTTGACTTGCAGTTGGAGGTGAATTTTCAATGGGAAAAAAAAAAAATCTTACAAGACAAACAGGTTGTGACAGGATAGACAGGATTGACAGCTGTCAGTCTGACCAGAGAGGGCAAAGGATACAAAGGGGAATAATCTTTATTCTGTTAAACTAAAGTTATTTGCATCTTTTTCTGGAAGAGGAATTCTGGTACATTAGACTTGGAGAAGGAATGAGAAGTAAGAGGTGTCAACTCAGTAAAGATCAGGAAGTATGTTTAAGAAATCGATGCCTGCATGTCAGGAGTGTGATTCATACAGAGATAACTTCTTGTTTTGGTACTTCTTTGCCAATTTAATTCATAATCGCTCTTCAAACAAAGGAGTCTCCTGAGACTTGAAACGATGATGGACTTTAAAGTTGAACTTTTTGATCAGAGAAGCGTTAGTGCAGTTCTGGGGTGTATGCTTTTTTCTGACAGTGAATGCAGGGCAATCTCAAAGTAGTTTGAGTCCTTGTATTTTATCACTGCAACCTTTATTGATCTTTGGAATTTTGCTGGTAAGGGTCACTCAGATATTAGTTAATGGATGAGAAAGGTATAAATGGACTTAAGAGAAGCTGTGTAATGCTGACAGAGAATGCAGAGCGACTAGTATCTGGCTCCACAATGATTTACCTCTGCTACCCCCATGTGGTTGATGTGGGGACTGACTCTATATATCTTGAGCTTGAAATCTTAATATCAAACAGTGAGCTTTTTTACTGAGACGCGTGCGTGCGTGCGTGTGTTCACACATGCACGCACCTTTCATCTATTGAAACACACAGTCCGTTTCCCCCCCCATCTCTCTTTCCTGTATGTGCCAACACATCTCCGCTTCATTATTCCGTTGGGCCCTATCCAATTCATTTAAGAAGACGCTGAACAGACGACATCTCTCTCTCATCACCTACACTTGCAGAGCATGTGTTGCAGGATAGAGGACAGATGGAGACCATCCACTGCTTCATCAATCATAGAAGGCAATCTTATTCAGATCAATTCTGCATTGATAACCATCTGCATCTACACTCCGCCTCAATTGTGAATTAACATGACCTTCTCTGCGGCTGTGAATGACAGCTGGCCTCAGTCATGAGCAATACACGATACAGATCATCAGCTGAAAGTATAATGGTGTTTCAAAGTCTAGATCCAGAATATAAGTTAACATCACGTTTCAGGTGTTTTTAAGGGGGAAACAAATTTTATATTCAAGCCAATATGTTATGGTATGCAGAGGTGTCAAAAGTATTCACATTCATTACTCAGGTGGAAGTATAGATACTAGGGTTTAAAAAGATTTCTGTAGAAATTGAAGTATCAACTCAAGCTTTTTACTCAAGTAAAAGTGTAAAAGTACTGGTTTCAAAACTATTTAAAGTATGAAAGTAAAAGTAATGTCAGGGGAAAAAATTCCATTAAGGACAAAAGCTTAGGCCGCGCCACAGGGGCCAATAGTGCACTACCCCACCTCCCCAAAAAAACATTTTTCTAAAGGCTATAATGACTAAAATGTTATATTAAAATGTTAATTTTGGAAAATTTGGGATGCACGTGTTTCAGCCGCATTTATGCCCATTGAAAATGAATGCATTTTAGTACAATGCAGATACATTAAAGAACCATATATGTGTACTACTGAGCATTAACATGTGTTTCATGGAGAGGACGATATGATGACTAGTTGCCTTTAAGTGTGACGTGATTTGCGTCATGTACAGGTGCGATGGATCGCGCACAAACCAATAGGGAGTCGGAATGGTATATGTTTATACTTCTCATCCAACCACAATCAAATTCACTCTATCTGGATGGCGCAATTTATCTGGAGAGGTTTTTTTGTTGTTGTTTTTTTTAACGATGACAAGCTGGAATGAAAACAAGCTGAAATGAAATAGGAGTAACAAGTCTGCCATCGCACCGTAAACAATAGATGCCTGCGGGAGAAAGCCCAATTTACCGAAGACCTTCCGGAGAGGGGCGTGGACACAGCTCATTTGAATTTAAAGCTACAGACACAGAAACAGCCTGTTCTGAGCAGGACTGAAATAGAGGGGTTTATAGGCATTCTAAAATACAGGATCAGAGTTTTTGAAAATAAACTTCACATTTAAACTTGTTGAAAAGGAGGATAATATGTGAACTTTAAATTCTTTGGTAGTGTTGTATTAAAATATACTTGTTTAAGGCTTCTTGTGATTCCAGAGGTGGCTGAGTGATTTCTGATTGATTCAAGTGATGTCATTTTAGTCAGCAGCAGTGGAAATAGTTTGAAAACTAAAGATCTGATACGGGAAAAAATCTGGAGGTTTTGATTTGGTAACAAGGGAGCAGGGCAGGGTGATATGGCCTAATTAAAAGTTACACATACACAGTTTTACTCATGTTATTATTTCATTTGTGAATCCAAAAAGAAACAAAGGAATATGATTTATATTATGTGTTTAATATTTATTTCAATTGTAATATTCCCTTTATTAAAAAGCAGCATTAACTGTCTTTGTTGAAAGTGAATAAACAGCCCCAAAGAAGAGGATAATAAAAGCTAGTTGAAGCAGATAGTACAATATTGTATTAGTAGGCCATTATAAAGTTGAATCAAAATTAACTGAATTCACTTAACTATCAGAATTAACTATAAAAGCACAATAAATAATTTTGGCTTTGGCCTGTATCAGAATAGCAAGGTATTAGCATTTCCACTGTCATATTATGAATTTCTTGTGAAGCTGTCTGCAAGGCTTATGTTGGTTGTCGATCAACAGTCTGCCCCCTGCAGGAAGAACACAGAAGTGCAGCATCCTTGAGAAACTGCTAACGAGGATCCCGGTGGTCGTCACTGGGTGTGCGACAGCGCCCCGGCCCCTTGTCCGTATCCAAATCCTTTGGGACCAAAGTTTTTGCCGTAACAGGCTGTTGGAAAGAAAGGTGATGTCACAATTCGCCACATTGTTTCACACACATTATTTTGTTGCAAATGTCTCCCCCTCCTAAGTCCTTTTAAGTCAAAGCTAGATAGCAAAAACAAACATTAGCAGTGTGTTGAACCTCAGCTGGGGGAAACCTCAATGCTACTGATGTCACAAAGTGGGTAAACCTTGGCGAGTTCTCTTTCAACATTTGTTTCGGTGTCTCACTTATGTCAGATTGTTGCGCGAGTGCATCTCGTGCGTGATTGGGAGCAATGCTAGAGGGCAGGGTTGTGAATGGCACATGGGGCTTCCATGCAGATGTTTCATTTAAACTTCCTCGATCTCCAAGCTGTCTTTCTGGCTCTGAAACATTCTCTGCCCCTCCTACGAGGACTGATGATGTGGAGCAGCTCTCGCCTATTATCTCTTGAGATCTAGCCTTGTGTCCAGGAATATTGAACAGGGGGAGCGGATTCACTGTCCAGAGGCAACCCTCTCTTCAAGGACTGGAAGCTCCACAGCAAAGTGGTGGCTCAGATATGGACGAGGTATAGTCCTTCCATTTAGAGACCAACCAACTTAAAGAAACTCAAGAAACCATTTATTGGCTGCAGACCTAGTGTTATTGTAATTGGTGACCAGTTCAGTGTGTGTAAAAGGATCTTTGCTCTGTACAAAAAAATAATGTTTTTAATGTGACTATATTAAGGTTATCAACATTTTCAGTACTTCACGATACAACGTGTTGATACAGTTGCTGTTAGTTTTTCCACATTCCGGTTTAACTGGATTAATAGTGATACAATAGTCTAAATAGCACTGATGGCCTGGGAGTTATGTCGCGCCACATGTACAGAGGCTATAGTCCTCATCCCAGCAGCTGTGCGTTTGAATCCGACCCCTGCCCTTTGCTGCATGTCATCCCCTTTTCTCTCCTTCCGGCATTTCTGTCTCTCTTCAGCTGTTCTATCCAATTAAGGCCCCCAAAAATAACTTTAAAAAACAAATAAAATGCAAAAAACAGCAGGAGTTTGCACTCAATCGTTGGTCATTAAAAACTAGAAATGATCTGATATTGAGTGATTAGGATTTCATTTTGTCTTCATTTGATTTTTAATACGATGCAGTGTCACATTTGCGTTCAAAATTCTAGTATTGTGATAACCCAGATAATATGGCTTTATGCTACAGTATTTAATACTAACAGTAATGATACAGCACTTTTCTTAACAAAGCGCAATGTAAATACCGGTATGATTTATTTGAACTCAAGCGGGGAGTGAAGACATTAGGTTTTTACCTTTGCAGTAGATTTCTCCATCCTTGTCAGCTAATGTGGTCGACTCAAGGCTCTTCCCACATTGTGCACATGTGAAACATCCAGTCTTATGCCATGACTGTAAAAATATAAATAGAACATCTGTATGAGAAGAGTGTATTATTTCAATGCTAATATAGACCAATGTGTGTGTTTTCCTTACACTCCCAGCTCCAATCACTTTCTCAGCAGCATAGACAGCCTTGCCACAGCGAGGGCACTTTTCTGACCCGCCAAACCTCTGAGCCAGCTTTGATGGGTTTGGGTTAGTGGTAGGACGATGAGGAGCAGCTCTAGAAGAGAGATCCAATAATGTTGTTTAATGGCCTTTAAAAAAATACTTAAAAACATGTGCGTTTATGTTTTACTTACTCTTCATGTTTAATACCCAGAGACTCTCCCTTGTCCATGCTGAGGGTTCCTGCTCCCTGACCGTAGCCATAGCCCTTTGGACCATACTTCTTGCCGTAGCATGCCTTGCAGTAAACTTCATCATCATGTACAGCAACAGTTGTGCTGTCCAAGCTCTTCTTACAAACCACTGAACAATTCACACAAACACTCATGTAAGCATGTTGTTGTTTTGCATAGTTGTGCACATGTTCATGTGTTTGGATAGACTCTTAACTTTCCTTTTATGGAACAGTTTAAGAAAAATGTTCTCATCTAAATTCCATCACAGGAATGTTCGATTACAACACAGGAACACAAATAACTCTGATCTCTATCAACTGACATTTTTAAAAAAGTTGAGACAGAGACCATTTAGGGTAAATGTAGCAATTGACCTTAATGGCAAACATGTTTTACAGCTGCTATATGTAGATAACATTGTGTTTCTGGTGTTGATTACTTTTTCTTTTGGGTTACAAACGGAGGTATGATGTAAAATTTTACAAGACAGCAGTTACACTACACCTCTAAAACAGAGAGAATCAGATAAAATGTAAAAAAATAAATAAAAATGATAACAAAAATGTTATGAACAGAATTACAATGCACATTATCATCAAACAATCACATCAATGACATCATCTATCTTAACAAACTCAAAACTTGTATTGTTTGAATGCTGTGTCATTGTTACATAGCATCTCTATTTTAGTACAACATACAGGCAACATACAATCAATTTAAATCCAGATAAATCATCAAAAAACATCAAGTTTCAGTTGGATATACTATGAGTGTACGTCTCTTATAAGACTTCGTAATTCACACCTACTGTATATCCACTCCACATACAGGAGGACATTGCCTCTGAAGGTTATAAACCTTTATTTCTACATGCACAGGTAATGCGACAACTTAGATTTGTGTTTCTTTTTGTTTGTGATCAGCTGAGTTACAGCTTACATTTGTCCTCGTACTACTTGCCTTTTGCCAATTCTAATGACAAGTTCCAACTATCAGAAGTTCTGTGGTTTCCACAATGACAATTACAAAAAGCAGCAAAGAGTTTACTCACTGCACAGGAAGCAGGACTTGTGGAAACTCCTCCCATCACACAGTACTTCCTCTGCAAAGTAAACTGTCGTCTGACAGCGGCCACACTTGTTTCCTCCTCCTAACGGCATCCTTTAGTAATGCATGCAGCATAAACACAGACACAATCACAAACATTGGGAAAATTGTAAATGAGAATCTCAACTTTTGCTTTTGTCCAGAATCTTTCTGTAAAAATGCTGCACCTAAACATACACCAGGAGACAGTCTTTTAAAAGCTTATGAAGGATGTACAAACACAGTGACTTTGGCTGTTCGTACTTATATTCTTAGTGATTGATAAATGAACCTTATGGACCTAACTGAAAACCTTTCGTTTAGGTGTGGAAATAGGCCATAAATAGAAAAACAAATGGATCAAGGATCCAGAAAATTCCTTCATACATGCGTCATGTATTTTGGAACATTATTTTGGTCTAGTCAAGCCTGGCCCATAGACTATAATTTTACTACCGCCAGTCCTCTGTGGCTTCTGCTTAATAGCAGCTAGCCAGCAGAGGGGAAAACAAAATTTTAAATCGGAGACGAAAGTCGCTTATAGAAACTCCAGACAGCCAGTTTGGAAATAATGTGAAACCTGACTTTCCGATGAGTTTTCAGTTTTTAAGTAGGCTGGGATTTTAAAGGCTCTTGGCAGCCTGCCTGTGTCTACTCAGTCAGTCTCCCAGCAGGACCCACCCAGTCCATTCTGGAGGCTCACATTCCTGACTAACCCTCCCACCTTTCTGCTCCTGACTCACCATCTAGTCGCTGCCTGTCTGCCTCAGCCTTCATCACTGCTGCAGACTGTGCCTCTTAATTAGGCATTACATATCAATTTATCAGGATTCTTAATTTTTAAGTTTGTGCTTTGACTTGCAGTTGGAGGTGAATTTTCAATATATATATATATATATATATATATATAAAAAAAAAGAATCTTAAAAGACAAACAGGTTGTGACAGGACAGACAGGATTGACAGCTGTCAGTCTGATTAGAGAGGGCAAAGGGGGGAATAATCTGGATTCTGTTAAACTAAACTATAATCTTATTCTGGAAAAGGAATTCTGGTACATTTTGATAACGATGGCTCTGCAAGTTAAGACATGTGGCGTAGGAGAAGGAATGAGAAGTAAGAGGTGTCAACTCAGTAAAGATCAGGAAGTTTGTTTAAGAAGTCGATGTGCCTGCATGTCATCAGTGTGATTGAGACAGAGTCTAAAAACAGAGATAACTTCTTGTTTTGTTCATTATCACTTTTCAAACAAAGGAGTCTCTTCAGACCCGACCTGCGCCAGAACTTTACAGAAAATAAATAGTGTCAGAGGGATTATCCGGTCATGCATCAGCAGAAAGAATTAGACATTAGTACAGTAGTAATTTAAGCAAACAGATAACAGGAAGATTAACATT